TCAAAGTGTGGTTGTCGCTTGATCGCCGCGCACATCCGTCTTACGAGTTTGCAAGGGCTTCACGGATGGCGGGCGGGTCGTTTTCAAAGTGTGGTTCTCGCCGTAGAGCCGGGCACACCTGTTTAAACAATTTTGCAACAGCTTCACAGATGGCGGGCGGGTCGGATTCAAAATGGAGCTCTCGCTTTAGAGCCGCGCGCATATGTTAAAGGGCGGTTCCTTTACAACAAGTTGTTCTCGCTTGGGCGCGGCGCACATTCGTTTTAAGAGTTTACACCAGATTCGAGGATTCACATGGTTAACGTCCCAAACTCCCTCAGAGGCCCCTACGAGGATCTTCTATCACTGCAGGAAGTACCCCGTTGGAAAACACTCGTTTGAACATCTTATGCTGTGCCAGATCACCATCCTGGGACTTCAGCACCGCGAATCTCCGTTACTGTTGCGTCTTGACGATCCCGAGTCGTGCCAGAATACTATTCCTGGGACTCCTACACTCCAGCACCACGAATCAATCTAACCGTCGCGCCCTGACAATCCTACGTCGTGCTAAAACGCCATGTCTGGAAGGAGATTGATTGCAACATTGCTGATGAGTCTTGGGGTTGCACTGGTCCTCCTCTTTCTCCTCCTCCTCCTCATTTCCTCCTCCTCCTCCTCCTCCTCCTCATTGTCCTCCTCCTCCTCCTCTTCCTCCTCCTCCTCCTCCGCGTGTCCTCGTGATTCCGTTGTTAGGGCGCGTTGGCGTGTCTTCGTACCTCGAGGAAGAATAACGGCATAAACATGAACTTTCGATTGTCCGCACGGATTTCTTGGATCTGCGTTGGACCCCCCTTGGCGGCGCCTCCAGCGCCGCCCTTGGAGCGCTCCGCGCGCAAGGGGGGGGCCAGCGCAGGTCCACGAAGTCCGCGCGGACCGTCGAGAAGTTTATGCTCATGCCGATTTGTCTTCCTCCGCCCCGACCAAATTTTCACGGCGCCAACCTCGCAGAGCGGATTTCGATCGGAAAAGATGTGATGGGCCTGGGGTGTCCTGGAGAATTTCGTTCCGAATTTCGGAGTGAATGTCGTGCGGATTTGTTCTGGCCAGGAAAGAAGACTAGAAAACATCCACGCGAAATTCATTTCGTGTTTCACTCGCTGCTTCGGGTCTTGCACTGACAGAGATCCACGCAGAAATCCGCTGCAGCACGTCTGCAAGGTCGGTGCAGTGAAAATTCACTTCGCGGAAACCGCATCCCCCTGCCTCCCTGGTCATTGTGTCTCCTCCCTCCCTCTCCCTCCCGCCCTCACCACTCCCCTCCCTCCCTCCCTCCCACACTACAAATCCCCTCCCTCCTCCTCCCCTCTCCCTGGGTTGGCGAGCGAACGGATGGCGCGGCGCCAAGTCGCTGCGTCTCAGCATTGCAGGACCGCGATTCCCCCGAGAGGGCCAGCCGCGCCAGTTCTGAGTTTGTCACAGCTGCGGCGTCTGTGGGCCTGGTGTTCCCTGCCTCCTCCTCTTCCTCCGCCTTCTCCTCCCCCTCCTCCTCCTCCTCCTCCTCCTCCTCCTCCTCCTCCTCCGCTTATGGAGCTTGATTTTAGGGGGGGGGTGCAGTTCCTTCTTTTGTGTGCGTTGGCGTGCGCCAGCGTCTTGGCTATCCAAGAGAGCGCGCCGATGCAGCGTCGATCTGAACGTAAGTATGAGGGTCGATTAGCGTCGGTCAGCGTCGGTTCGCTAGCACCAGCAAGATGGTATGGAATGCACCCATAAGCGAGAGGAGGAGGAGAAGGAGGAGGAGGCAGGGAACACCAGGCGGCGAGGCGGCAGGAGGGGGAGTAAGGGAGGTAGGATGAGCTACCACCGAGCCGAGGCGGGTTGGCGGAGGTGCGCCCGGCCCGCGCTGCCGCTGTGCGCCTTCGCGCTGTCCGTCGCGGCGGGGGCGGCGCTGCTGCGCCGCGGGGCACGACGCGCCGTTGCGCCATCCGCCCTGGCCGAGTGGGCGGCCCCGGAGGTCGGGAGTGGAAGAGGAGAGAAAGGTACAGTCGGACCGAGGTATGAGATTGAGGTCGATTCGGCGAGGGGCCCTAATGTTCTTCAGTGTTTGTTGGATGTTCTTGTGCATCCTGGGGAGGGTACCATTTGGATGTTTTGCTTGTTCTGGCCGGCAGAGGGTCTCACGTTCTTGAAGGATGTTTTTCTGGCCCAGGTCCGACTGTACCCATACCGCTTCTCTCGGCTCGTTATCGCCTTTCTGGGCCTCCTGGGAGGCCCTCGTCGCCACCGCTGGATTCGCTTCGGAGATCTGGCCAGAACGCGCACCAGGAGAGGTTCTGGGAGTAGCGATATCGGTAGGTTTTGGTTTCCCCAGGGTTGGAAGAGGTGCCGATGCCGCTACAGTCAAGACGCTAAAAGAAGAACCGCTTTGGGCTCGGGAAGGGCTCTGGTCTGGGGCCGCTACTTGGATTTGTGCCGTGGAGCCTGTCTGTGTGGCCTACGCCCGCCGTGGCCAGGGAAGCCCTCGCGTGCCTTCTCCTGCGTGCCTCGATGTAGCACGACGGCTGTGCCCTTGCCTCGTCGCCACGGCTGGGTTCGCCCCGAAACCCTGGTCGGAACGCGCCAGGGGAGGGGCGGTACCTGTTTTTTGGGGGGCTACGGTGGCCCTTCGCCGGAGTGACCTCTGGGTGCGCGGCTTTTTGGGGTGGCGCGGGAGGGTCGAGCCCAAGCGCACAGGCCGTCGCTGTCGCCCCGCAGGCAGCCATCGGCGAGCCGCGCACCAGAGGTCACCCTTGGCCCGTGCCACTCGAAGGTCCAAAGATGAGGTCCTGAGGTCCTGAGGGGTGGGGTCCTAAGGACGAGGTGCTTCAAACAATGCAAATCCACCCTTGGATCCCTTTTTGATCGTTTTCTTGCTCACTTTTGTTGCCGATCGGCGCGGGTCCCAGCACCCCTCCCCTCCCCCCATGGAGTAGATCTTGGCTATGTTTGGCGCATGTTTCAAGCAGGTGGAGTCTCCCCCCGTAGGACGCACTGTTGCAAACAGTCGCGCCAAGCAGAGGTCCGGAGCCAGACCCCCCCCCCTCTCCCCCCCTTCCGCCCAGTGCCGAAACGCCGGACGAGAAAACGTTCAGATCCTTAGGACCCTCCTCCTCCTCCTCCGCCTCCGCCTCCTCCTCCTCCTCCTCCTCCTCCTCCTCCTCCTCCTCCTCCTCCTCCTCCTCCTCCTCCTCCTCCTCCTCCTCCTCCCCCTCCCCCTCCCCCTCCTCCTCCCCCTCCTCCTCCTCCCCCCCTTCCTCCCTCCTCCCCCTCCTCCTCCTCCTCCTCCTCCTCCTCCTCCTCCTCCTCCTCCTCATCCCCCCCTCCTCCCCCTTCTCTCCTCCCCTCCTCCTCTCCTCCTCCCCCTCCCTGTCCCCCTCCTCCTGCCCCTCCTCCTCCTCCCCCCCCCTTCCTCCCCCTCCTCCTCCTCCTCCCCCTCCTCCTCCTCCTCCTCCTCCTCCTCCTCCTCCTCCTCCTCCTCCTCCTCCTCTCCTCCTCCTCCCCTCCTCCTCCTCCTCCTCCTCCTCCTCCTCCCCTCCTCCTCCTCCTCCTCCTCCTCCTCCCCCTCCTCCCCTCCTCCTCCTCCCCCTCCTCCGCCTCCTCTCCTCCTCGCTCCTCCTCCTCCTCCTCCTTCCTCCTCCTCCTCCTCCCTCCTCCTCCTCCCCCTCCTCCTCCTCCTCCTCTCCTCCTTCCTCCTCCTCCTCCTCCTCCTCCTCCTCTCCTCCTCCTCCTCCTCTTCCTCCTCCTCCTCCTCCTCCTCCTCCCTCCCCCTTCTCCCCCTCCTCCTTATCCTCCTCCTCCGCCTCTTCCTGTTGACCACCGAGTCGCTCCTGCGCGTGCCTGGCCTTTTTTGCCCCCCCCCCCCCCCCCCCCGGAGGGGCCGCTGGGGCTGCGGGGCGCGGCGCGGGGCGCGGGCGCCCACGGGGCGGAGGGCTGCGCCGCGTGCGTCGAGGAGCTCTGGGTGGTGCGGCACGCCAGCACCGTGTGCATGGACATGGTGCCCTACGACGCCAGTAATCTGATCGACTGCCCCCTGGACGAGGCGGGGATCCACGCAAGCTGATCTGGAACGTCCCGCGTTTGTGAATATATATATATATATAGATAGATAGATTTATAGATATATAGATGTATAAATATAGATATACATATATATAGATATATATATATAGATATATATGTGTGTGACGAGTGGTTGTCATACCACATAAACGTGTGGAGATGGCGCATCGCACGTTTTTGCGACAACCCATCGTCGTAAACAAGAACGTGTGATGTTCCAGATCGACTGCCCCCTGGACGAGGCGGGGATCCGCGAGAGCATCCATCACGGCGCCCAGTCGGCGCTTTTCCACGGTCGCTTGAGCGGGGCCGATTTGGTGCTGGTTTCTCCGATGCTGAGGACGCGCGCCACCATTTTCTACGAGCTGCTCGCTGCAGGCCTCCTCAACGGCACCGCCGCGAGGCCGACGGTCAGGATGCACACGGGGCTCGTGGAGGTGGGCACCGACCCGGGCAACATCGGCACGAGGACGACCGACTGGTCAGAGAACTTCACGAGGCTCGGATGGGACCGCCCCGAGGCCTGGGACGGAGGCGGCGAGAGCATCGAGAGGTGGAACTCCAAGTACGCCTTGTTGGCCGCCCCCGTCCCGTCCGCGATCGAGCTGGAGGCATGGAGGAGCGCGACCAGGGAGGTCGTGGCCTCGAGGGATATCTCCCCGCAGTCGCTCGCGAGCCTGCCTTCGCTGCGGTCCAGCATCTGCGACTGGGCGTGCTCGCGCGGGCCGAGCAGGGTCGTCCTCGTGTCGCACCACATCTTCATGAGCGAGCTGCTCTGCCTGGACCCCGAGCAGGCCTCCGACGTGGGCAGGCCCTTCCGCGTGGAGGACGTGCCCGGGTTCCTGAGCCACCTCCAGGGCTCCTTCGGGCAGGAGATGCGGCCTCCGTCAGGGCTGCAGTGCTCGCGCACGTTTCGGAGGTAGCCCGCGCGCGCCCCGCGCTCGGAGGGCTCGCGGGGCTGCCCAGGCCTTTCTCTTTCGGCCTCAAATCATGGGAGCCTTGTGTGTACCCTCGCAATCCCGTCTGTAGAGTGCACTGGCGTCGAAGTGCGCCAATTTAGCCTCGATGAGCGTCGATTCGCGTCGATTTAGCGTCGGCTGGCGTCGACGAGCGTCGATTCGCAAGAGCGAACAAGATGGTATGGGAGGCTCCTATGAGTTGCCAACGAAGGCTTGCGGGGCTGCCCAGGCTTTTTTTCATGCCCGCAGGCCGGGCAGGCGCGGTCGCCACGGTTCTGTGGCTGCCCCCGAAATGCCTGTCATATGAGCCCGCTGCCAGCTGACCCTTCCGCAGAGATGAGGGGCAACGATAGGGGGGGATAGGCATAGGGTGGGGAACATCGACCTGGAATCGGCGATACATCGTCGATAGATCGGCGATAGGCCCCCGATAATGAATCCGCACGTTCCTGGGCAGGTTGGGGCTATCGGGCCCCTTATGCCGATCCCCCCCCTTATGCCTATCCCCCCCCTCTTTATGTCTATCCCCCCCTTATCGTTGCCCCACAAGAGAGCCTGCGGAATTGCATGCTGTTTTTTACTCGCCGAGCGCACGATCTGTATGACTTGTACCACCCTCTGTCGATCGAGGTGCCGCGGCTCTTCCCGGGTCGCTCCTCCTCGGAGGAAGGCTGACCGACACAACGGCGGCCCTCCCGCCCGGGCCCCCGAACGAACAAGAAGCCATACGCCAGTAGGCGCGTGGGCAAAAGCATGCGTCTAGCAAGCTCGACGCGGGATCAAGGAAAATGCCGCGAGCAGCCGCGAGCAGCCCGGGCCCCCACTCGCTCAAAATCGGTCCCCGAGACCCTCCAGGGATCCGTCCTGACCCACTCCTCGAGGCGGGCTCGGCCATGGCGACAAGGACCCAGGCATGCGACGTCCTGTGCTCCTCAAAATGCTCGGTCCCTGGAAGTCCCGGCCTCCCGACCTTCTTGCCCTGGGGCCAGCTGTGAGCTGTCTGGACGGCCCCAGGATCCTGGCAAGGGCCCCCCAGGGGCCGAAAGCGGTCGAGAAGCTCGTCCTGACTTGTTTCACGACGCGAGCACGTCTGTGAAGCCTCCAGGGGGCCCCGACAAGGACGAGCAATGCCTGGGAGGGCCGCCGCTGTCCCAACCGGCCCTCCGATCCTCATCCCCATCCTCCCTCCTCCCTCGTCCTCCCCATCCTCCCTCCTCCCTCCTCCTCCCTCCTCCCTTCTTCCTCCTCCTCCCTCCTCCCTCCTCCTCGTCCTCCTCCTCCCCCTCCTCCTCCTCCTCCTCCTGCTCCTCCTCCTCCTCCTTCCCCTCCTCCTCCCCCTTCTTCTCCTCCTCCTCCTCCTCCTCCTCCTCTCCTCCTCCTCCTCCTCCTCTTCCTCCTCCTCCTCATCCTCCTTCTCCTCCTCCTCCTCCTCCTCCTCCTTTTCCTCCTCCCCCTCCTCCTCCTCCTCCTCCCCCTCCTCCTCCTTCTCCTCCTCCTCCCCCTCCTCCTTCCCCTCCGCCTCCTCCTCCTCCTCCTCCTCCCTCCTCCTCCTCCTCCTTCCTCCTTCCTCCTCCTCGTCCTCCTCCTCCTCCTCCTCATCTTCCTCCTCCTCCGACGACGACGATGTTCCCCCCCCCCCCCGCGTCCCCCCTCTGCGGCGCCGACTTCGCGGCGCGCACAGGGGGCTCGGGGGAGGAGGGAAGGCTTCTTCGAAGGAGGCTGCTTCTTAGAAGGCGCGGACCTTGTCTACAGATGTAGGGCCAGCGCCTTCTAAGAAGCAGCCTCCTTCTAAGAAGGTTTCCCCCCTACCCCTACCCCTTCGGAGTGGCGCCGGGACACGGACAAATCCGTTCCACAGCGCTCTGGAACGCTCTCGGAGCGTTCTGGAACGCTCTGGAAAGGCCGCGGCGCCCGAGACCTCCTGCAGAGCCGCCAGATCTCAGAGAGTCTCGATGCACAGTCGGGCCGCTGAAGAAGGAACCCTTTTCGTTGGGGAGGGGCTCAGTGTTCCTCAGCTATTTTGCATGATTTTAAAGCCTAACTAATGGAACAAAAGGGGTCTCGTTACTTCTCTGGGGTTCCTTATCACAGCATGTCGACTGCATCCTCACGCGAAGTTATCCTCGCCCCGGCTTCGTGCCAGGGGGGGGGGCCACACACCCCTCCTCTTTGTTTCTCCTCCTCCCCTTCTTCTTATTATTATTATTCTTATCCTTCTCATTTTCCTTCCACTTCTTCTCATTGTTATAATTATTATTAGTATTATTATCATTATTATTATTCGTGTTGTTCTTCTTCTCCTCCGAGGATCGAGGGCCCGTGTCCCCGCTGCGTGCTTCTCGTCCTGGCCTCGTCCTGTCCCCTCTGTGCGCGCCGCCCGCCCCCCTGCGCGCGCCGGCCGCGGCCCGCCTCCCCGGGCCGCGGCGCGGCTGCCGCGTGACCACCGCAATTCACACGCCTGGCAGGAGACGCCTCGCTAGGGGGCCACATGCGAACCCTACCCCTACCCCCCACGATTTCTGAGGGGGAGGGTGGGGATTTCTGAGGTGGACCCCACCCTCCCCCTCAGAAATCGTGGGGGGTAGGGGTAGGGTTCGCATGTGGCCCCCTACTCGTGCCACGCCCTGTACAAAGCGAGCGGGGGGCCCGCTCCCGGCCCCCGATGCGCGCCAGGCGCGCGGGGGGGGGTCCTCTTGGGCCGCGGGCCTCTGCTGGCGTGCGCGCCCGGGCTCGAGTGGGGGCCCCTCCTCCCCCTCTCCTCCCCCCTCCTCCCCTCCTCCTCCCCCTCCCCCTCCTCCTCCCCCTCCTCCTTCTCCTCCTCCTCCTTCTCCCTCCTCCTCCTCCTCCTCCTTCTCCTCCTCCTTCCTCCCTCCTCCTCCGCCTCCTCCTCCGCCTCCTCCTCCTCCTCTTTTTCCTCCTCCCTCCTCCTCCTCCTGTTTTCCTCCTGTTCCTCCCCTCCTCCTCCTCCTCCTCTCCTGGCGCTGCCCCCGCCCTCCTGTCGTTCACCCCCCCCGACCCGCCCTAGCATTCCCGTCCCTCCTCTCCTGTTCTGCCCCTGTTCAGCTCAGCCCATCATGTATGACACTGCCGAAGTGCGCTGCGCTAGAGCCCTGATGTGGGCAATTTTCCGCAGAACCCCCTGCACTCAGGCCGAGTTGGAACTGCATGTCCCGAGCTACGCGGTCTTAGCCCTTGGAAAAGCAGCCACGTGAGGAACCCCCATGACCGCCCATGAGCCCCTTGAATCAGATGTCAAGCGCTTAATTAATACCGAGGGTTCGACGGGACATGAGGACACGCCACTTCTTGCCTTGAGGCACGGTGCCAGATCATGTGGTAGATGATGTAATACGATGCACGTGGTAGATCAACGTGTGTGTGTGTTGCAAGGGGCGACTAGGGATGTCAATACTGGCGTCCTATGTATAGAAGTGCTTGGCATTTAATATCAACGATCGTGCCCGTCCGATAGGTCCAGCCTCGACATGAACGCAGAGTGGAACATCTTTAAAAGTTGAGACCGATGGGGTGTCATCTGTGTGTAGTATCCTATGGAGTGCGACGTATGTGGTGCCGTATATCTGGTTCAATGTACGAGGTACAACTTATTTGGCGCAAGCTGTGTAGTGCACACTATGTGTTGCAAGTTACATGGTGCAGCCTATGATGTGCAGCTAAACTTTACCGCATGCGCGCGTGACCACCTCTAATGCTCGTGCAAGCATCCAACCCTCATCCGCAACATGTTGACAAAAGTGAACTAGGCACCGACAACGACGAGGACGATGACGGTGATGATGCTCATGATGATGGTGGGGACGATGTCGACCACGACGATGGTGATGGTGATGAAGCTGACTGTGAAACTAATAATTGTGGCAACGATGACGCTGGCGATGATGATGACGATGGTGCTGGTGAGGATGATGAGGAAGTGCGCGCACAGAAACATGATGAGGGCGACGACATCGACGATGACGATGATGATTGCGGTAGTGTTAATGGCTACGACAATCGTGATGACGATGGTGGTGATGGTGGTGATGAGGATGAGGATGAGGATTATGAGGATGATGCTGCTGATGATGATGATGACGATGACGATGATGACGATGGCGGCGATGATGATGATGATGATGATGATGATGATGATGATGCTGATGCTGATGCTGATGCTGATGATGATGATGATGATGCTGATGATGATGATGATGATGATGATGGTGATGATGATGATGATGATGATGATGGTGGTGGTGGTGGTGGTGGTGGTGGTGGTGGTGGTGATGATGATGATGATGGTGGCAACGATTCACGCTTGCGATGATGATAGCGTTGTGCAGATGAGAACGATGAGAACGTGCGCACTCGCAGGAGTTTTGAGTTGTTGGCACACTTCGATTGGAAGCCACTGGGTTGCCAAACGTGTTCTAAAATGTGTGTCTTGAGGTGCTTGGAAAACCAGCGGCTCGGAAAGATTTCCACGTGCGCGCGTGGAGGAGAGCCCGTGTGGCCCGCAGCGTATGGTTTGCCGAGGTTGTCGGGCGCGCTTTGATTGTTAAGCGTTTTCGACACGCGCGCGTATGACCCGCATGGTCTCATTTGACAGAATCGGTGGAAACCCATGGTTTTCTTGTGCTTTCAGCAAGCGCGCGGACGCACCGCACAACTCTAACAAGTAAACATGGCAACGTTCATTCCTTTATAGCCGTGGACTAGCTATGTCTCGAATGGTTAGAGCATCATGCTTATTTTGATGTTGGCATGTGCGCGCGGCGGCGCGTGCATGTGTCCCGCATCGCATTTGTTGCGAAGGGATCTGCATCACCTCATTTTTGGGCAAGAGGTAAATTCTAATTCTTTACAGGAAAATGGTGTCGAATGGCCTTCGGCCCATCCCGCCACCGTGCCTGAGTTGTGGGCCAGAGTCCTCAGGGATGCTTCTTGGGGTCTCTTCGGAGCGC